CTGACAATTTTTTTCTTTCAGCACTTTGAATGTATCATCCCACTCTCTCCTGGCCTGTAAGGTTTCTGCCAAAAGTCTGCTTATAATGTTATAGAGATTACTTTGTATGTAACAAGACTCTTTTCTGTTGCTGATATCAAAATTCTCTTTAATTTTTGATAGTTCAGTTATAATGTGTTGTGAAGTCTTCTTTGAGTTGAACCTATCTGAGATCCTTTGAGTCTTGTGTACTGGATATCCACATATCTCCCTAGGTTGAGAAAATTTTCAGCCACTATTTCTTCAAATAAATTTTCTGCAACCTTTTCTCTCTCTTTTCCTTCTGATACTTTCATAACATGAATGTTAGCTCTCTCTTGATGGTACCCCATAAATCTTCTAGGCTTTCTTCTTCCTTTTTTATTCTTTTTTCCCTTTTCCTCCTCTGACTCAACATTTTCAAGTAACCTGTCTTTGATTTCATAGTTTCTTTCTTTTGTTTGACTAAATATGCTGTTAATTCTCTTTACTGCATTTTAAAATTTTATTCCTTATGTTCTGTATCTCTGGAGTTTTGTTTGGTTCTTTTTAAGTGACTCCTATCTCTTTTTGAACTTTTAGTTTAGTTCATGTATTGTTTTCTTGATATCATTTAGTTGTTTATATGAGTTATCTTGTAGCTTTCTGAGCTACAATGGTTAAAACAATTACTTTGAATTCTTTGTCAGGCAATTTGTAGATTACCATTTTTGGGCATCAGTTACTGAAATATTATTGTGTTATTTTGGTAGTGTCATGTTTCCTTAATTTTTTATGTTCCTCGAGGTCTTGTATTGCTGTCTGCACAGTTGAAAAAATGATTACTTTCTTCAGTCTTTACTGACTGACTTCAGGAAAGAAATGCCTATACCAGTTACCCTGGCTATGGATTCTGAGGCTCTCTCAAAACTTTTTTATGAATGTGCCTGTTTCATACTTCTTGTTCCCTTTTGGCAGGGAATTCTTCAGATTGTATGCCTCTCTCAATCCCACAAAACCAGGTGTTGAAAGCCTCTCATTTGTTTTCCACAGAGTAGCGCCCTGAAACACTCAACTTTGTATGCCTTCTCCTAATCCTGCAGAGTCAAGTCAGCTATCTGCATGGGATGCACTTACCATCCACGGGGATAGGCTTGAGGAGGAGCTGGCCTGGGGAGGGAAGATGAGGTGCACAGAGCATTTGGGATGATGGTGGATTGGGTGTGGAGGGGGTCCATAGATGACGTGTCCCAAACAGCTCATGGACAATCTTCCTGATGGAATTTACGGAGCAGTTAGTAGGGTAGTAGGGTACACAACATCTCTTCCTTTCTCCCAGACTCTCCCAATCTGTCAGCTTTGCTGATCACCTCAGTAATATGGGTGAGGTAATAAAGAGGTGGGCCTCTTTGGCAGCACCTTGCATGACTGGGAGAGCTGGATGGTCACTCACTATGCTCTTACTTTCCCCTATGGGAGAAGTTGGTCTGGGTGGTGGTGTCTCTTGGCACCGAGCCATGCCACCTTAGAGGAGAGGTGATGAGTGTAATGTGAAACTCTTTTTGTATATTTTATGTTTTAGAGACAGGGTCTTGCTCTGTCTCCCAGGCCAGAGTACAGTGGTGTGATCATAGCTCACTGCAACCTAGGACTCCTGGGCTCAAGTGATCCTCCTGCTCTAGCCTTCTGAGTAGCTGGGACTGTAGGCACATGCCACCATTCCTGGCTAAGTTTTTTTGTTTGTTTGTTTTTGTTTTTTAACATTTTTTGTAGAGACAGAGTTTCACTGTGTTGCCCAGGCTGGTCTCAAGCTCCTGAGACCTCAAGTGCTCCTCCCACCTCGGCCTTCCAAAGTGCTGGGATTATAGTCATGAGCCACAGCACCTGGCCAAAACTGTTCTTCTTACTCTTTTCATGCATCTATTCTCAGATTTTTTTCTCCAACAATGTGCTGGAACTTCTCCACTGGACTCCCAGACTCCCACTATTCATGAGTACTTGTCCAAACTGATGCCTCTGCAGAAGAATAACAGTAGAAAGCTTCTATTCTGCCAACTTGCTGACATCCCAAAGCTGGTTTATTAAGAATGTCATGCTTTGTATACAATATTGATAATAAAAATAATAATTTGTTTTGAGCACCCTCTGGCCTGATTATATGTTATCTTATTTAACTATGATGTTGGGAATAATAAAATTTGCCATATAGTGTGGATTTTCATAGGCTAGCCTCTGTGCTTTACGTAAATTATTCAATGGAGCTTATCACAAATTTACGTTGTTATCCGCATTTAACAGATGGGGAAATTCAGCACGCTCATATTAAGTGACTGACTCAGCATTTGGACTCAAATCTGTCCAGGACAAGGGCCATACTCTATCCACTAGGTCACTCTGGCTTCCTCACAAGGAAGAAGGTCATGGCCTATGCAGCTTAACCAAGCCCTAACAACCTCTCCCACCGCAACACACATAGGTGCCGCTGGTACATCCACATGCTTTCTGGCCCTATGACAGTCAGGGCTCTGATTAGCTGATACACACACAGAGAGAACACAAATCCCCCAGGAGTGTTTCATTAGACATTCATGTGGTCTGTTAATAGATATTGCTCTAGGCACATTCTATGGTACCAGTTTTTGCCCCTGACTTTTAATTTCCACAAAAACCCTCAGTGATGTATCATGGAAGCGGATCTGGAAAGCCAGACTGACAAGGTTAGGCTGAGAGCTAGTCCTAACTGCTTGTCTTTCTTGGGTTAGGTCAGAGCCTCATGATTCTCAAGCACCCTAGGTCATCTAGCAGAGTTCTAAGTAAAAGGCTGCTTCCCTGGCCCAGCAAATCCTGAGTTTCTTTGTCTGAAAAACAAGATGATTAGACTAGGGAAGTATTTTTCAAACTTGAAAGGTTTTGTTCATAAAAACAACCTAGACTTGGCATTGACATAAACATTTTTTGTTATATAATGCATTTTTCACATCTGTTTGCTTGTCTTTTTTCCCCCTTAGTCTGTTCATGTTGCCATAACGAAAATACCAGAGACTGGGTGGTTTAAACAACAAACTTATTTTCTCACAGTTCTGAAAAAGGCTGGGAAGTCCAAAATCAAGGCACGAGGAGGTCCAGAGCTTGGTGTCTGTTGGGGGGCCACTTCTTGGCTTGTAGAAAGCACTCTACTTTTTACCTTACTCACATCATTTCATTCATTTCTCCTAGCAACCTAAAGGCACAGGTATTGTTCCAATTTTACAATTGAGGACATAGAAAGTAAAAGGCTTAACTAAAGTTAAGCCTAATAAGTGAAATAACTGAGATTTGAACGCAGCTAGATTGAGCCTAAAGTACCAATACCCATAATCACTGCGTAGGCTGCTTCTAATGGAATTTTCCACATCACAGGTGCCCTCATCTCCTGCCCCCATTGCTTTTTTTCATCCAGATTTACCACCATTTCCACCTTTCTTTTGGAGCTTCTTGCTGTGCCTTCACAAGGAAGGGAAGATGGAGAGGAGAAAGAGAGAGATAAATACATTTTATGCATATCCATATTCCCAGCCTATTACACAGTACCTGGCACAGCGGACATTCAGACAATATTTGATGAATAAATGAATATATGTATAAATGAATAAAGGAATGGATGGAAGACTGGATGGATGGATGGATGGATGGATGGAGAGTTGCTGAAGATGTGGGAATAACCCATGATGTGGTGGTAGACGACCTCTTATACCAAAGGACAATGAGAAATGATAAAGAAATGGAATATGAAGACCTTATTCCATAAAAGCATAGATGTGGCAATGGCATGAAGCCATCAATGAATGTAGCAACATCTCAAACAGACCGCACTTAAAGTTTATTTGTTCAGCCAACACATATTAATAAGCATCCATTATGCATATATGAGTGCATGTTGGCACTGTGCTGGGAGCTCCAGAATCAGAAATGAGTAAGACACAGCTTGTACCCTTAAAAAATTCTTGGTTATGAGGACAGACACGCATATAAACAGAATTTTCACAATATAGTCAGTCTAAAACAGAATGTATCAATCAGTATAGGTCAGTTGATACTACGGTAACAACCCACAACTTTCAGTGTTTTTAATCAACAAAGCTTGTGCTACATGTCCATGGCCTCCACTCATAATTCTCACAATAGGGCTCAGGCTGACGTAGCAGCTGTTGCTGGTTGCTGTGGCAGAGGGAAAGGAACCCTAGCACGCTATGCATTAGCTCGTAAGGAGCATATCACTTTCACTCACGTTTGCTTCATCAAAGTCTTGTGGCCATATTTAACTCCGAAAGGGCTGGGAGGAATTTAACTCCAAGGGAACAAAGGGAACACTGGAAGCATCTGGTGATTATTAAACAGATGTATAAACAAACTGCATTTGGAGTACACACAAGGGCATTACTATGAGTAAGCAACCGGGGTCCTGTTCAAAGAGGAGCTGCCATTTGAACTGAGTCATGAAATGCATGCACTAGTCACACTGATGCACAGGGTCTAGGAGGTCAATCCACAGGGAGATCAGTCACCTTCATGCTGTCTGGAGGTGCCCCAGGGGTCCCCATCATTGTGCAGTGTGCAGTGACAAAACTTCATCTGCAGTACATGTGGTGGTTTCAGCTTCACTGGAGACATTATGATGATGTTTAAAATTACTGTTTTTTCTTTTTTCTTCTTCTTCTTTTTCTTTTTTTTTTTAGATGGAGTTTCGCTCTTGTTGACCAGGCTGGAGTGCAATGGCTTGATCTTGGCTCACTGCAACCTCTGCCTCTCAGGTTCAAGTGATTCTCCTACCTCAGCCTCCCAAGTAGCTAGGATTACAGGTGCCTGCCACCACGCCCAGCTAATTTTTTTGTATTTTTAGTAGAGACGGGTTTCACCATGTTGGCCAGGCTGGTCTCGAACTCCTGATGTCAGGTGATGCACCCACCTTAGCCCCACAAAGTGCTGGGATTACAGGTGTGAGCCATCACTAAATGAACACTTACTCTGTGTCCAGGGAGGTTTATTGAGGCAGAACGCTGGGCAGCTCATTCACAAAGGACCACCAGTTTCGACTATGATGTCATGTTCAAACAGTTTCTAAATAAAATCACAAAGATTTCCTGAGAAGATATTCATCATTCATACTTTGTGTCTAATTTCTAGACACAGAATCATGAGGACCCCTGAATTAATATTTTCTAGAATTCCTATAATCTTGCACTATATTTTTGTACTAAAAAAACTGTTTCATGAGGACCCCTGAATTAATATTTTCTAGAATTCCTATAATCTTGCACTATATTTTTGTACTAAAAAAACTGTTAATTCACAAAAATGTATACATAAAGCTCTTCCCCAATTTATGTAATATGTTGCTATTCATTTTCTATCTAAGAACCTTAAAAAATGGGAGGCCTGCATCCCTCTTGGCCTGGGCAAGGCCCCTGTAGGTACCAGGCACTCTGCTTTCTAACTTCCTTGTATCATTTCATAATTTCTCCAGGCAACCTAAAGGACAGCATTATCTCAATTTTAACAAATGAGGAAATGGAGGCTGAAAGGCTTAATTAAGCTTAAGCATAATAATTGGAGGAAGGGAGATTTGAACCCAGGTATAGCTTGATCTTAAAGCTCTGACACTTACAATCACTGTCTAGGCTGCTTCTGATGGAATTTTCCACATTTCAGGCCACTCACCCTCCTTGTTGCTTTTTTTCACCTGGGTTTATCAACATTCCCACCTTTCTCTTGGAGCTTCTGCTTCCAGTTGCTCCTCCTGACCCAGATGGAGGTGGCAAGCTGGGAGAAGCAAGCCCAGAGTCAGCACTTTGTCAAGCATAAAGTCAGGAAGGAATCCCACTGTTGCACTAGAATCTGATGGCTTCCATAGTAACAGAATCAATCAATCAGTTAATCAACAATAACTTGTTGAGCATCATCCGTAAACTCAGTTCAGTGTTGCAACTGAGGGGCAAGGAAGAGGGAAGAGGGTGGGAGCAGAATTACGAAGATGAAGGAGACACAGGGCAAGCTGTGGGTGTGAGCGTGGGTATGGCTGGTTTCCTGCACCAAATCTGTGCAGAGAGGCCAGAAGTTGGCTGTGATTCAGAAAGGCAGACAGATACCATTCTGAGCTGCTGCTCAAAGCTCTAAACCCCAGAGCCACTGTTGGTTGATCCACTGCGTTCAGGTACTTTTACAGAAACCCTGGCAGCTCCTGAATGTCAATAGAGGAGGAATTAGGGGCAGCCATATAGTTGCTTGAGCATGGGCTAAAGGTTTTGTTGTGAAACTGCATTTATTTAGAAAGCATACTGACTTTTACTTAAATTTAAAAGTAAACTCAGTTCAGTGTTGCAACTGAGGGGCAAGGAAGAGGGAAGAGGGTGGGAGCACCCATGGGGGAGGTGGGCGGGTCTGATTAGGAGGAATTAAACTACCCCCTTCCTGTTCTTGACCAAAGTATTTCTTAAAGACCTCTTAAGCACATGTTACTTTGTCTTTTCAATGGGGATTTTAAAAGCAGAACAAAGACTGAGGATAATTAAACATACTCTAAGGAATGGTGAAGTTAGCACATTCATAACAAATATAAATTGTAAATATTGAAATCTACCAGCATAACTACGATGCAACTCTGATGGCATCTCCAGTTCCTTCTCACTAGGCAATGGGTAAAGTTCTCAGCAGAGAAGGCTAGGACCTGGTCTTCTGTTGCTCTCACTGGCCCACAGCACTTCTTGGTGGCCCTGTCACTTCCTTTGTTTACAGATGTCATGCTAGTCATGGAGGTAACTCTCTCCCTGTTAGTTTTAAGGGACAGAGCCTTTGCCAACTGTATTTCCAGAGTGCTGGCTACTTCTGCTCCCTGCTGCTATGCAGATCCCTGCTTAAAGACTGGAAATGAGGAGGCAGGAGAGCCAATTCTCAAGCCCCAACACACATAGGAATCACCTTCAGAGCTTGTGAAGAATTCGTATTTTGGGGCCTAACTGCCAAGATTTACTGAGTAAGAGGAGGGGTCAGGAATCACTCTCCAAACACCCGACAAGATTCTGAAGCCTGCGGGACCACCTCTGGGAAACACTAGTGTGCATGGTGATCGGGAGAATGAATTCTATTAAGGGAAGTCTGTATTTTCACCTCTCATATCTTGTCCTCTCAATTGTAAAATGGGGAGAAGAGCACCTTCCCTTGGGAGGCCAAGTGCCACACCAAGCCCTGCAGCTAGTAAGTGGCAGAATAAGGCTTGTACTTGCTGGCCCTAAAGTTGCATTTAACCTTGATGCCAGAGTGGGTCTAAAAGCTGTGATATGACTCCTCCCCATGTCTCCAGCCACCGTAGGCCAAGTGGGGTGTCGTGTCCATGAGGATGATAAAGAACATATGAGCAGTGCTCGCCACAGAGGATGTCCTCAGAAAATGGGCCATGAATAGATGATCAGACGATAATTACAGTGGCATCACTTGTGGAGTCCCTTCTCTGGACTGGACCCTCCACTAGTGCTTCTGAGTCCTGCCCTGGAAGTGAGCCCCACAACGTGTCCATGTAGTGACCACTCATGTGACAGCTACCAGCTCTCCCCCTCCCTACCTCAGGACAAATTAGGGGACATGACACCCTTCATCTAGCTTCTTTCCCCCTCTATTCTACCTCTCTACCCTGTCTCAGAACTCATCTTCCTCATCTGTAAAGTGGGGATAATTGACCCTCTTTTTCCTGCTATCGGAGTACGAAAACGAGACGATGTCAGTGCTATGGACCAAATGTATGTGTCTCACCAAAATTTATATTTTGAAGCTGTAATCCCCAATGAGATAGTGTTTAGAGGTGGGACCTTTGGGGGATAATTAGATCATGAGGGTAGAGCCCTCATGAATGGGATGAGTGTCTTTTAAGCAGCAGCCAGGGAGTAAGCTAGCTCTCCCTCAGTCATGCGAGGATACTGTGAGAAGGCATCCCTCCGCAAACCAGGAAGTGAGCCCTCACCAAGAACCAAATCAGCCAGCACTTTGATCTTAGACTTCCCAGTCTTCATACTGTGAGGAATACACTTCTGTTATTTAAGTCACCCAGTCTACGGTGTTCATGTTCTAGCAGCCCAAACTGTCTTAGACAACCAATATAAAGTGCCCCCTCCACCATAAAGGATGTTTCTGACCCCTCTGGCTCCCTCCCAACTAAGGGTGGTATATTAGTCCGTTTTCCTGCTACTGATAAAGACATACCCAAGACTGAGAAGAAAAGGAGGTTTAATTTTACTTACAGTCCAACATAGCTAGGGAGGTCTCACCATCATGGCAGAGGGCAAAAAGGCACTTCTTACATGGCAGTGGCAAGAGACTATAAGGAAGAAGCAAAAGCAAAAACCCCTGATAAACCCATCGGTTCTCATGAGACTTACTCACTATCACGAGAACAGCACGGGAAAGACTGCCCCCATGATTCAATTACCTCTGCTGGGTCCCTCTCACAACACGTGGGAATTCTGGAAGATACAATTCAAATTCAGATTTGGGTAGGGACATAGCCAAACCCTATCAGAGGGCCAACCACATTGGCAGCACTTAGCCCCAGTTCAGGGTGGGCTACACTCATGGGGCTGGAGTGCACAGGGCCATCAGGGATGCCCAGCCCTTGAGTCAGGGTGGGCAGCCAAGATAGTCCAGTGGGCCACAGCTGGTGGTTATCTCATTCCTTTTGTGGATGTATGTGCCCTCTCAGAACATTGTCTTTTCCTGGAACTGGTGAAAGGAGCTAGAAATGTGCGCAGGGCACCAGGCTTCTAGCATGTCCTATAGTGGGGGTGTCCTCAGGGACCCTCATCGTTCCTTTGGTTCCCAAAAGCTCCACTAGATCTTCCTAATAAACAGGTGTTGGCAGATTCTGATTCTCCTGGAACAACTTCCCATTCTCCTAGCTGTCTTCTGCTGGGTCCCCCAGTTCAGTGCACAGGCAGGCAGTATAGCACAGGGCAGGGATTCTCAGATGTTGGTATGTTTCAGAGTCACCAGGAAGGTGTGATAAATGCACATCCCCAGGCCCTGCCCCAGAGGTCCTGACTCAGTGGGTCTGTGGAGAGGCCCAGGAATCTGCCTTTTTAACAAGCATGTCCACATGTTCTGATGCAAGTAGTCCTCCAGCCACAGTTAGCACTGACATGACTTGGGTTTTGGAGTCAGGCTGGCCCAGGATTAGATCCTGGCAGTGTGGTTTGGGCAGGTCACAGAGGCTCCCAGGCTTCTGTTTACTCCTCTAGGGAGGGTGCCAACATACTAATTATTACGTAGTAAGGGTAAACTAGTTCATTTAGACTGTGTGCTTTAGCAAAACACCTACCGCAGCAGGTGCTTAGTGAAGGAAACTCTTTTCCTAGGGCCAGGAGACTTCCCGCCTGCCCCCTAAGCCTGTGCACTGTCACCTGGGTGCATGTCTCTTCTGATGACATCATGGGGAGTTATCTGAGGGCAGGTTGGTTGCCGGCTTGTTCTGGGGGCTGCAGGAAGAAAGAGGGGACCCCAGGATGGAGGTGAGCTAAGAAGACATAAAGCTGGCCTAGCCTAGCCTTGGCCCTTGCTGCTCTTCACTAAGAGGCCTCTAACTCTTCCCTGACCCACAGGCCACATGCACTCATCTTGCACACCTGCCTAGAATGCCACCATTGTTTTGGCTTCTTAATCTGGTAAATTAGAAGCCATGTTTCTAGGCTAAACCCAAAGGTAACCACTTCTGTGAAGTTTCCCCTCTGTGCCCCTAAGTAGTATTCCAGTGATGTTTTGTATACCTCTTGAGAGCACTTAACAAGTTGTATTGCATTTCCCTTTTTATCCCCTTACTCCCAGGCCGGAGTTCAGAGTGCCTGTGGCCCTCAAGGGCAGGAACTGGGTCTGATTCATCCCCAGTGTTTGTTACAGTGCTGGTCACAGAGGCAAAGTACAACATGTCTGTTCAATAATTAAGTGAATGGATGCTACCAAGCTGATTCTGCTGCAAGAACCTCAGAGTCCTCACATTCCAAAGAAGAGAATCAGCCTGGCACGGCAGTTAAGAGCACAGGCTTTGGAATCCAAATTCTACTCTTCCCTTAAAAGCTGCTTGCTTTGGTCTGAATTAATCTCTATAAATTTCATTTTCCACATTTGTACAACTGGGGTTGACAGTATCTGTCTCACACAGTGGTTATGGATATCAATTAAGTCCATGTCCAAAAGTATTTGGCACAGTGCCTTACAATTAACAAAATTCCAACACCGTAACTCCTGTCAAATGGCCTGGTCAAGCCATACAGATTTCAGGCGATTTTTATTATTTGTGTGTACTCTCCAAATTCTCCCCTATGAGTGCATACTACTAGTCTAACCAGGAAAATGCACGTACCCGTTGCTAAGTCCTGCGCAATGGAACTGACTCTTATAGACTTGGATTCTGGATTATCACAACCCTAAGTTCAACAGGCTCATTTCAGAGACTGTCATCTGGATGGGCTCCTATTGTAAGGTGACCACTAAAAACATGAAAATAGGCCAGGCACGGTGGCTCACGCCTGTAGTCCCAGCACTTTGGGAGGCTGAGGCTGGTGGATCACCTGATGTCAGGAGTTTGAGACCAGCCTGACCAACATGGTAAAACCCCGTCTCTACTAAAAATACAAAAATTAGCCTGGTGTGGTGGCGCACGCCTGTAATCTCGGGAGGCTGAGGCGGAAGAATCACTTGAACTTGTGAGGCGGGGGTTGCAGTGAGCCAAGATCACGCCACGGCACTTCAGCCTGGACGACAAGAGTGAAACTCCATCTCATAAATAAATAAATAAATAAATAAATAAATAAATAAAAACATGAAAATACGGTAAAAAAATTACTGAGAGTTCTACTGTAAGGCCAACAACAGACTCTAATAAAATAACCAGAACTAACATTAGGCTTCACCTGTGCCAGGCATTGTAGTTGTTGACATCTGTTCCCTCTTTTAACCCTCACAAGAGTCTTCTGAAGTAAGTGATATTATCACTATTTCTTGGTTGAATATTGTGCTGTTAGAAGATCGAGGAACTTCTTTAAGTTGTGCTGCAAAATCGCATCTGCTGGCCTTCGGAGCCTCTTTAAATCCACTGAAAAAGAATTCCTCAAATCAGTGGCACTTGACCAAAATGTTACATGTTGATAGAAAAATATGCTTAAATATGTGTTAGAAAATTATGATGCTCTTTCCCTTCTGAAACAATTCAGTCCTAAAATCATTAAGCAGGTGAGCAAGGCAGCTTGGTGCAGATTATCAGACCTCAGGACAAGCGAGGAGGTGGACACTCTGGTGATAACTGTGACTGCTGGGCAGCCCAGACTGGACTTGTGAAAGGCAGCAATGCATGGAGGACCCTCACTCCATAGACAGTCATGTATTGCATAGCGATGACATTTCGGTTGAGGACAGACTGCACATACAACATACCTTATTTTTACTGCACCTTTTCTATGTTTAGAGTTGATAGATACACACATACTTAACGCTGTGTTACAATTGCCTACAGAATTCAGTACAGTAACATGCCGTACAGGTGTGTACCCCAGGAGCAATAGGCTGCATCATACGGTTATACTATCTAGGTTATAGGAGCTAGGTTTGGGTAAGTTCTCCATGATATTCACATGACAAAATTGCCTAAAGCAGCATTTCTTAGACTGTATCTATATTGTTAAGTGATGCATGACTATATTTCTATATTATCTGATTTTCTTTTGCAACAAATATATACTCATCAATAGCTTGCATCATCTTTAAAAATTAAAACTAAAACTAATAAATGACAAAAGAGAGAGGAGGAGTAGAAAATGAAAGGAGCCAGTGGTCTGTTTTGGGATTCACTTTCCGCCACCCCAGCCAGGCAGGGCAGGATGAGCTGGCAGCCCTGGCCCGGGGACAGGAGCGCTGAAGCAGGCAGAGCGTGTGTCTCTGGCAATGCCCACGTGGGTTTGCGCAATGGGCCTGGGGGCTGGGGTTCCCCGGGTAGCTTCTCCAGCCTCCGCTCCAAATGCTCAGGAGGTTCACACCCACAGGGTCCATCTGGCTGCTGCCCGTGCTGAGTCAAAGATGTTCCTGAGTCATTCCGAAAATGCCCAAGGTACCTTCACAACTCTGCCATCTTTGCTGCCACTCATGCGGGGCCCAGCAACAAAACCTGGGGGTTGCAGATAGGGTGTCTCGCTGCTCTTGGATGAGGTCGGGATTTTTTTTCTTAGCAATGGCCTTTCCAGTATCCTTTCCCAGCTGAATTTGCCTCCATTGGGTTCTGAGCAGCAGCTCAAAATGACGTCCTTTTCACTTAACTATTGTAAATGTTTCTATTCGAGGTAAGATAAATAGCTACTATTTGTTGAGCTCCTGTAGAGTGCCAGGTACATTATTCTCATTGAATCCTCACAACAACCCTGAGAGTAGACACTGGTACAGAGAAAACATTTTAAGTGACTCACTGAGTTACCTCTTGGAAGTATTAGAGCTAAGACTCTAAACCAGATTTTCTGATATCAAAACCCAAATTGAGCTTTCTCAATATGCTAAACCGCCTTTCTGTAGTGCTCCAATAGTTTGGGATTTTCTCATTTTTCAAACATGGCTTACAATGTGAATAAAGAAAATGCTGCTAGACTTAAAAAAGATTGAGAGATTGAGTGTTTATTATGTGCCGGCATTATGTTTACTGCCTTTGTTTAATCAACTTCAGCCCTCATCAAAACACATGACTTTCTGTCATAGAGGATGGAACCAAGGCCCAGAGAAGTCAAGAACTCAGGTCTCACACAGGTCACTGGGCAGTCTTAGGCCAGAACTCAGGCAGCTTGTCTTGAGAACCCATTCCCATAATGTCCCTCACCCCAAAACTAAAGGAATATCCTCACTGGATGGTGACGATTTAATGAGCTAATATGCATTGTTTAATGCCTGGCATGTAGGCACTCAACAAATACTAATTTCCTTCCTTCTTGCCATCTGGATTCCCAGGGATCTAGTGTGGGACACGATGAAAGAAGACAACCCCAGAGACACAGACCAATAGATTTTAGAGGTTGTTTAGTTCGAGCCCCTCACTGGGCAAATGGCTCAGAAAGGGGGAATTATAGATGGAAACAAAGCTTTAGGCTTTCTTGGTCTTCCTCTCTTTTGCCACCATAATTCCCAGAAAACTCCATGAGCCCAGAGGCTTGCTGGATTTTTCACCTTAATATGCCCAACACCAGATAGTAGGTGTTTGAAAACCCCTTTATTGAATGAATGAATGAATGAATGAATGAATGAATGAAAATGAATACCAACTTCACTCTGCAACTGAGTTTGAAGTCATGAAGGC